ATTGACATTTCTTGATATGAGTGGAGTAAATCTAAGCCTTACATCATCAAACTTGTTTCAAGTACTTGGTATGCTTCCTTCACTATCATGGTTAACTCTGTCAAGTTGTAGTCTCAAAAATTGTCACTTGCCATCTCCTAACCATCCCTTTAATTTTACGTTGCTTGGCAATATTCAACACTTAGATCTTTCATATAACTTTTTCCAAGGTCCAATACCTATATTTCTCCAAAATATGACTTCCTTGATATTTCTTTATCTTTCTGAGAATCAATTGAATGGGAGTATTACAAATAGCATCGGACAACTCTTTAAGTTAAAGAGCATAGATCTTTCTAAAAATCAATTGAGTGGGGGTATTCCAGATAGCGTCAGGCAACTCTTTAGATTAAAGAGAATATATCTTTCTAACAATCAATTGAGTGGGAGTATTCCAGATAGCATCGGGCAATTGTCTAAGTTAGAGAACATAGAACTTTTTGGCAATCAATTGAGTGGGAGTATTCCAGATAGCATCGGGCAATTGTCTAAATTAGAGAGCATAAAACTTTCTGGCAATCAATTGAGTGGGAGTGTTCCAGATAGCATCGGGCAATTGTCTAAGTTAGAGAGCATATATCTTTCTATCAATCAATTGAGTGGGAGTCTTCCAGATAGCATCGGCCAATTGTCTAAGTTAGAGAGCATATATCTTTCTGACAATCAATTGAGTGGGAGTATTCCAGATAGCATCGGACAACTCTCTAAGTTAGAGAGCATAGATCTTTCTGGCAATCAATTGAGTGGGAGTATTCCAGATAGCATCGGACAACTCTCTAAGTTAGAGAGCATAGATCTTTCTGGCAATCAATTGAGTGGAAGTATTCCAGATAGCATCGGACAACTCTCTAAGTTAGAGAATATAGATCTTTCTAACAATCAATTTGGAACAAGATTTCCTGAATGGCATCAATTACAAAAGACAATATACATTGTTGTTCTCTCTAATGCTAGCATCTCAGGTCCTCTTCCAAAAAATATAGGTCATATGATGCCAATGTTACTGGTATTATATCTTGCAAATAATCTCATAAATGGTTCAGTTCCACAGTCACTATGCAATTTAAAATATTTGGAAGAACTTGATCTCTCAAACAATATGTTATCTGGAAATATTCCAAAGTCGCTATGTAATTCAAATTATTTGATACTTCTTGATCTCTCAAACAATATGTTATCTGGAAGTATTCCTAATTGTTGGAGAAATGATCAATCATTCAAGTTTATTGATCTATCTTCCAACAATCTTTCAGGTTTATTTCCAAGCACAATGGCACGGCTTTCTTCTTTAATTGAATTGCACTTGAACAACAATAGTCTCCATAAGGAACTACATGTGACCTTGAAAAACTTCACTTCTTTAGTGATTTTGGATTTGGGTGAAAATAAATTTTCTGGAAATTTAACAAGCATTATAGGGGACAAGATCAACAACCACTCTTTAAAGGTTCTCCGACTGCGAAAAAATTTGATTTCCGATTATATTCCTTTGGAACTATGCTCTCTCTCAATTGCAAATTCTAGATCTTGCTGATAACAATCTGACAGGAAGGATTCCTCCTTGTTTTGGAAAGTTTTCGATTATGGTGAACGCAACACAATTAAGCAATGACATGGTCATGGTTTATGAATATTGGGGTCAACACCAATTGTTCGAGTCTTTGTCATTGAGATACATTAAGCATTTGGACCTGGCACCTTTGATGAAGGTTGTGAAAGGGAGAAACATTAAGCATTTGAACCTGGCACCTTTGATGGAGGTTGTGAAAGGGAGATACCTTGAGTATACAGGAAAACCTTTGAGACTTGAGATGAGTATAGATCTTTCTAGTAACAATCTAATGGGATCCATACCAGAGGAGCTAATTTTCCTTAAGAATTTGCACAATTTGAATCTGTCTTAGAATCACCTCTCAGGAAAAATCCCTAAGAAAATTGGACAAATGGAGAATTTGGAATCTCTCGATTTCTCCAAAAATAACCTCTCAGGAATGATCCCGAACAGTATGTCAAGTTTAACCAAGTTAAGCTACCTCAACTTGTCCTACAACAACTTGTCAGGGCCAATTCCAACAGGCTATCAACTCCAAACACTCGAAGATCCAACCATATATGCTGGCAATCCTCAACTCTGTGGAGTTCCACTCCTAAAGAAATGCTCAAATGATACATTGCCCCCAACAATTGCCAACTTCAAGGGTAATGATAAAGATGCACTTAAAAGAATGTTGTTTTACATTGTCGTGATGTTAGGTTTTGCAACTGGATTCTGGGGAGTTGTGGGAACTTTGTTTTTTGTGAAAAATTGGAGATATGCTTATTTTCAATGGATGGATGATATCCAACACTGGATACTTGTGGTTATAGCATTGAAGGTGACACAATTCAAAAAGATGTTCAATGGCGACCGAGATGATCAATAAGTTATATATGGAGTATGTTGTTGTTGCTACATTAATTATTAAATTAGTTGGACAACACCATATTACAGGTAATAGTGTCGGGTCCAACTTTGAATGGCCCAACATTGAATTGACCAATTTTATATGAACACATTAGTATTATAGTTTGTAAAATTTTCAATAATATAACATAGGCTATAGTTCTATATGTTTCACAAAAATAAAAATTCATAAATTCTGATAGATAATAGGGAATTCTATGCCAAGTTTTCAAATTGCATGGATTTTTATTTTTTTAGTTTTGTTTTTAAAAAAAAAAAGTAAAAACAAAAGAAAAAAAAGAAAAAGAAAAAGAAAGCAAGAGATGAAAGAATGAGATAGGAAGAATGGCTTAACTGAGTAAATAATAATAACCAAAACAAAGTCCTTACATATTTATGATCAAAGTTTAGAACTTTCAATCACACACAATCAAATCACTTAATTGAGTATCTAATACAATACAACTTTTACATAAAATTCCCATGTCATCAATATTTCCTAAAACATATTTTCACATTACATAAGGTATATGAACTACAGACTCATAAAACACGGTTAAGGCTAAATAATGAAGTCTGTTATATTAATTTAACCCTGAATAGCTAATTGATTCTACAACAGAAACTAAAACACAATTAATCATTTATTGTTTTTAAATTTATACCAATAGTCTCCATATATAAGAAGCCTAAAAGCTAAAACACATAATGCAAAAGAATTTAGATAAACTTCAAGAATAAAAGAATATCCAAAAAATGATAAAGATTAATACCTCCGACTGCAACCTCAATATTTTGGGTTGCCTTTCTCCCAACAAACCATCTTCAGATAAAGCCAACTAAAAAAGAGTATATCTAAGTGAGAAAAATATATAGATAATTCTAATCTTATTCATTTGAAAGATGATGTTGGTATATTTTTGTAATACAAAAATAAAATAAAATGGTGGTGCTTTTGTGGCCAAACCTTGAGTCTCCTTCATCCTACACTCATGAATATACAGATGCCACCACAATAATTATGAAATAACTAACATGTTTTAACTTGGAAAATAAATTATATATTAAGAAAATTATACAACTAAAGCTACAAGAAACTTATGAGATAAGATTGTAGGTCTCCATTATGTACATGATAACATAATATATGTGTGATACCCCGAAATTTTCTAGAATATTTAAGTGTGAGTTAGGGACTTGATTGTGAGAAAGATTGTTTTGGGGCTTAATGTGAATATTCTGAAAGTTGAGGGACTTAAAAAGGGAAAAAAATTTGGATAAGGATGGATTCTTTTCTTTTTCTTTTTCTTTTTCTTTCTTTCTTTTCTTCCCAGCCTTGCCCGATTCTGCTCATCTTCTTTCTTCCCGATGCAGCCGAACAAAGCCCCCAAGCAAGCCGACAGCCCTCCCCTTGAGGAAACCGGTGAGAAAGCTTGATTTCTCCTTCTTTTCTTGCTCTAAAATACAAATTGAACCCAGAAATTCTCCCCCCTGCAGGAAGCTTCCGGATCTGCTCTGCTCTTCCCTCTGCTGTCCGCCGGCTGCTCTTGTTGTGGGTGCAAATTCTGGGCATTTTCTGGTAAGAACAGCCCCTAATTCCTTTGTTTTAGCCTTAAATTAGCTTGGGTTCATGTTAAATATGTTGTTTCTCCAGAATTTTGATAGATTTCCCGTGAGCCCGTGAGCTTTCTTCTTCCATGCCGTCGGTCTTCCCCCAATCTGCAACCCCGGTTTTAGCTGGAGAATTATGGTATGTGACAGCCCTTTTAAGGCTTAAATTATCCATTTAGTTTGCTGGCTGTGTTGTCCGAATTTGACAGAAAAATGGGGATAATTCCGGTAGCTTTAGGACCATGATTTAGCTTAATTCAAGTGGGATTTATATGATTGAGTGTTAATTGATTTCTGTGTGATTTTTGGAGAAAATCCCGTCAATTAGTTAGTGTTTTGGCCAATTTTTGGAAGTGGGAGTCACTGTTCACGCCGTGGGTACTATTCACGGGGTACTGTTCACGTCACTGTTTACATATTACTGTTCACACCCTGAGGACCAACAATTAACGGGGATTAAATGTTTAATTTGGAGATATTTGATAATGTGAAGATTGATAGAAATAGCATTGTGATTAGGGGTGATCCCAATGATGATTTCAGTGTGAATTTGTGATAGTACGGTATTAATTCTCGGATATTTGATTAGGTTCTTGATCGTTTTGTCAGTTAGTACTGAGATCGAGTCTTCAGTTTTATGCGAGTAAGGTAAGTAAATTTATGGTAATACCCGTACTGTTTTTAAAAGCATGTTTTGATTTGTTTTTGAAGTGGTGGCGTTTGTTTTTGAAGTGGTGGCGGGACTAAATCCGTTTTACACGAGCATGACTGATTTGAAGTGAAATGTTTATGCTTTTCATTAAATTGAGCATGCCTACTTGAAAGTTTAATTGATTGTCCTGATGATTTGAAAGTAATTGGTGAATTATGATTGTTCTGTTAACTTCAGCCTATTTTGTCTCCGATGTGGTCATGTTATTAGTGACCCTGCTAGTGGGGGAATTTATAAATGCTAGCACATGTCGACATGTATTTCTGTAGAGTTGGTTCCTCTTGCCAATGGGAGTTGTTAAACACTGGTATTTCAGTGACCCTGCTAGTGGGGATTATACACTAGTAAATCGTGTGCCTGCCAGTGGGAAGTTTAATACACTAGCCGTGACCTATAGAGGAGACGTCTATTTCGTTCCCGTACTGTATTCGTTTTTCGTGATTACACTTGTTGGCATGCTTTAAGTTTAATAAGGGGCACTCCATATTTTACTTACTGAGTTTATCTCATAGTTTTTCCTTGTCCACCATTTCAGGAAGTGAAACCGAGAACGGGGAAACCACGGGAAGTGACGAGTTAGAAAGCTAGCCATATTGTAATTGGATATGAATTTTAGAAACAAATCATGATCTTGTATTTGGAAACTTTATTGGAGATTAATGTTATGAGAGAATTATAAAATTTGATCTTCAGATTTTGATGATGTCAGATTGTGATATGATAAGTTCCAAGCCTTGTGCATTTGTGGGATCCTCTCACGAGTGCACGGCGTCTGTCGCGCCTCGGATTTGGGTTTTGGGACGTGACAATATGTGTAGCCAAATTGTATAGCAAATCCCAGACAATATTCTTTTAAGTAAACAACTCTCACTTCATATATTTATTTCAATTCCCATCTGTACTACTTATAAAAGAGTTTGAAATTTAAGTTTAAGATTCTTAAATTCAAAATTTTGAAACAGAATAAGAAGGTGAAAAGAGACTTAAAAAATGAGAAATAATTATCCCCTTTTGTATTGAAGGGGAAGATGAAGACGATGATTGAAGAGCCAAAAAGATAAATACAATTCCCGTCCTCTGGATCAATATGAAAAAAAGAAAGGTTAAATCCTCAATTTGGTCCCTGAACTATTATATGGACCCTCGATTTGGTCCCTAAACTAAAAAAATCCCTAATTTGATCCCTAAACTATTGTACGGATCCCCAATTTGATCTCCAATTTGATCTTTACTGTTTACCAATTTGCCCCAAGCTGGTCCTTCTATGCAAAAACAACTGACGTGTCTCGTTATTAACGTGACACATGACCATTAAGTTACTATTTTTCGCCATTAAAGACTACACACGTCAGTTTTTTTATACGGAAAGACTAATTTGAGGCAAATTGGTAAACAGTAAGAACCAAATCGGAGGTCCGTACAATAGTTTAAGGACTAAATCAGGAATTTTTTTAGTTCAAGAACCAAATCAGGGGGTCCGTACAATAGTTCAGGGACCAAATTGGAGATTTAACCAAAAAGAAACTGTGCTTGACCTAATCCAATGCTAAACGGTGACAATCTGCCCTCGAGGCACCTAAAGTTTGATTATCCTTCTGCTTAACCGCTAAAGTTTGATTGATCAAACAAATTATGCTGATCAACCTGTTTCAACTTTCAATTTCAAACAAGCTAGAAAACCAATAACAACTCAGACTCACTACGTTGCAATTCAGCACTAATGTACAAATGTATATACATTTCTCCCAATGTATGCAGATAAGAATCCATCCTAAACATAGGCAAAGACAATAAAGCACATTAAAATAACAGCCTTCAATGTAGAGGGAAAAAGTTGGTGTACCTTGCATCCCAAATCTCCTCCAGCTCCTGTTGCCTTGGTGTACTTTAAGTATACAAAACAAGCACACATTCTCTAAAGACCTCAACTCCATTATAAACCAACCCTAACCTACACATACATTTAATAATATTATTAAAACTTTAAAAAAAGGGCAAAACATTAACATACATAGCAAACAGCATCAACAACTCAAATCATAGAACTTCATCGCTTAATAACAAAAACCTTAAGAACAGATGTAGACGATTTAACCCTAAGTTTACAATAAAATTCATCAACCATTCTATCAAACTAGTCAACAGCATTGTTCACTTAATCCGCTTTACCATAAACCTGATAAATAAAAACGAAAATCTAACCCTAATTTCATGCTTTAATCGACTTAAAACCTTCTTTAAAGATAGGCCTTGTGTGCATAATTATGTACAAGATAATTAAAGGTGGGATTATATGTATAAGAACTTAATTTGGAAGCCGACCTGAATATTTGGTTAGAGATTAGGGATCTTTCTCGTCCTCACAAGAATGGATCGATATGAAAAAGAGAAGCTGTGCTTGACATAATCCGATGCTAAACGGCGACAATCTACCCTCGAGGCACCAGTCGGCGCATCGGGAGCACAGATCTGACGCCCAGGGCACCGTACGAGGGCAAAAAAACCATCGAGAATGCTCTATCCAAATATCTTGGCCTGCGGGGACGGATCGGCACTCTAAGAGAATATTACAAACCTGGCCTGAATGTTATTTTCTTTCTTTGTCTTTTGTAGGTAATAATGGGCTTCTGTAAATTCAACAAACTTAGGGCCGAAAATAATAGGACCCAAAGTGTTTGCTTGACCCATAACTCATACTGTGACGGGCCTAGATCTATTTAGCAATTATGGTAACATACTATGGGCTTTGAGACCATTCTAGCTTTTTTTGGGCCAGCGAGACCATTTCAGCACGATAAAGCATTATTGAATTAGTTCTATTTTTGAAGG